TCTTTTCAGGGCTTGATTGCTCATTTCTTTTTAGCACTGAATAGTATTTCATTATCTGAATGTACCACAATTTATCCATTCACCTACTGAAGGACATCTTGGTTGCTTCCAAGTTTTGGCAACTTTTGGAGGATATGCTCTACCAAAATGGGAAAGTAAAACAAAAAAGAGAGTAATCTGGGTTTTCTAGGAAATAAGGGTATAACACTTGGAAGAGGTAAAAGGCGTCCCCAAGATGAAGGAGCAGGCCAAAGGCCTCATGAGAAATTTCTTCAAAAAAAAAACCCAGAAATAGACAAAATATTTAAAATTTTGAAAAGTGTTGAAAGGAGATTTATAGGACTGGGAGAGCATTTAAGGTTAAATTAGTGTTAAATACATACACAAGACAAATGAAAAACAAGATAGTTATAAACTCCAGGAAAAAACTGAAACTATGCAAGAAAGGAAAGTAGTCACGATATACTGTAATGCTCAGCTGTGCTAACATTTGCCTAGTTGTAAAAATGAAAACTCTAAAAATTGATCTAACTAAAATATGATGTAACTTCATGGGGGAAGAGACAAAGAATTCGTGTGTGATGTGGAGGTTGACGGAGGGTTGGGTTTCACTGCTAAGGACAAGTTAAAGCTTTGTCTTCTTGAGTGGACAGTTAGTAGATAACATTTAAAATGAGAGCTAGTAACATTAGCATGTTTTTTTATTTCCTCAATATAGAAGATAAAAATTTTTTTTAATCAGCTGAAACGAAGCAAATGCTTCTGGGGAGTGGGAAATAGGGGGTAGGAGATAGCAAGTGCTATTTTTATAACCAGACTTATAGAATGATTTGACTCCTTAAACTAAATACATGGATGACTTTCATAAAAATAAAAACTATGTTTAAAACATCCACAAAGAAATAATTATAAGTTGCTATATCCTTTAAGTAGCCTTATTATGTAAATTTGTTAATATTTTTACTAAGTCTTATTGTCTGCTATTGCTTTTCTGTTTCCCATAAGCACACACTCCCCAAATTTAAACACGTAAAAGACCTATTCATTTTTCCAGCAGTTTCTGCCCACTATATATATCCCTCTGCCCATTCCTCTCTTCAGGTAGTCATCTCTCCTCTGTAGTATCACCAGGAACTTTACCTGGCCCCCTGCCTCTTGTCCCTCTTTTCCTCCCTCTCACTATCCCCCTGTGCCAGCGTCATTCTTCCTGAGAAACAGATCTGATCACATGACTTACAGTTCTTCAGTGAATGCTAACGAATACAGAGTAAAATCTAAACTCCATCCTCTACATATATGCAAAACCCCCCACCTACTTTTCGCCCTCCAGGTCTCCATTTCTCTTTAGTGCCCCGCGGTAGGAGCCACTCAGTGTCCTGCCTCCATGTGCTTCCACATGCTGTTGGCTGACACCCTCAGCAGCCTCACAGACTTCCACTCTAGGAGTTGTCTCAGCCCTTTGTATGTGCCATTGTCATTAGCTCTGTCCTATGTTGCGATTATTCTTATGCTTCTCTTCCACTGGAATATGAACAGGAAGTTGAAATTGTGTCTTATTTCTCGTTAGGTCCTTAGGACTTAACTCAGTGTATGGAACAAAATAGTTATATAATAAATGTTCATTAAATGAGTGAATACAAAAGTCTAACAAAAAGAAAGGGATATTGTCAGGATACTGAATATTTTCTGTACTTCGACTGTTTCTACTGGCAAATTTATATTTTTGAGTATGGCATTAAAAATCACTAAGCACAATGAAATAAAATGTGCCTACATATCTGTATTCAAATTAACTAACAAACATATAAATAAATAACCTGACCTATAGTTTTTCTTCATTTGGATTAAAAATTAAGAAAGGCAGAAACTATGAATCAGGCTTACTGTTTCTTTCCTAAATCTCAATACACACTAATTTTTTCAGACTTCATTTCCATTACATTTTACAAATATGGAAATAGAATTTGGGGCCGCATTCCGAGCACATTCCTACAGTTATTACATTAATGGCAATAACTTGCTTTAAAATACTTAAAATTTTTTGCACTGTATCATCTATTTCCTTAATGGTTAATGAGATAGAGATGTAGAGAAAACTCAAGACTGTGCAGTTAACTGATTTGCTTCAGATTTCATAGCTACTATCAGTGGTGCTCTGGAGCTGACATGCTGCAATTCTGACTTTTCTAATACCGAGTTCTTTCTCCAGTGTTCACACCCAGCCACCAGCAGCCCTGCCCCTGGTGCTTGCTTACTTACCGCCTTTCAGTTGCAGCACTGTATGTTTAAAGGTGTAAATCTTGAGTAGAGATCTCTTGTGTTTTTTGATCTCCGATTAAAATAAATTCTGTTTAAAGTTTATTAAGCTTGAAAAGCAATGAGAATAGCAATTTTAAAAGTCTTTTTCTAGACAAAGAGTGGACTACTCTGAATTTGAGATTGTCCTCTTTCTAAAACTTCAGTTGAAAAGTCTCATATTATTTTGTACAAAAGCTACTAGAGAAATAAGAACCATTCCATTTTTTATTTTTCAGAAGAGTGTGTGGTTTTGAAAGTGGTTATTGCAGTGATTGATGGTGCTCAGAGAGACCATTGTCACAGTGGCAGTTGGGGAGGAAAACCTAGAAGGACAAAATCTTATGAGGGACTTAAACACTAGATGAAAATCACTCTGTATGGAGAAGGATATAACCCTGTTTTATACTTGGCTTTCTCTAAGATTTTAAAGAATAAACATTTTGTCATTTTTATTTATGATTTACTCCCTAACCCCACCTAGTTTTCTGGTCTATTTGAAATCCATTTTGTATGTTGCCTTTTTATAACTGGGAATATTAAATAGTAAGGGTATTTAAATAGTTGAGAACACTAAATGTAGTAATAATGTATTTTTTCCTGCATGTAGTAGGCCTACAACAAATTTTTTTTTTTTCAGAGTACATTGCATTTATCGAATGCTTTCTGTGTTACCTTGCAGGACACGTGCGTCCACATTGGCTTTCTTATCAGGGAGAGGTATAATAAATTATGTTAAAGCCTTGATGTAAAGTTTTCTTTTTTTTGTTGTTAGCCCATTTTTGTTTTATAGTTAATCCATGATTATTCGTTTTATATGATATTTTGGTAGCTAAATACAAGAATTTACAGATATTTCTAAATATGTACTATACCTGGCCTTATACACCAAGGGCTGTGTGATTTGGTCAAATGAGTTAACCTTTACAAGTATCAGTTTTTCATTTGTAAAACAGGGATAGTAATTGTATCTTATAAGAAGATTGTCATAGAAACTGTATGAGATAATGCAGGTAAAATTCTACATATGATTTTTGTATTGAATGGGGTAGGCAGATAATTTTTTTTAGATCAGAAAGTTGTTTTCCAATGACTAAACTTGAGCTCAGAGAGGTTACTTTTAACAGGTTTTGATGAGCTGCTATAAATCAGTCACACAGATTATGTCATTTAATCTTTGAGCAACTTTTTATGAAATATTCAAATGATGTCCCAGGATTCAAACCCACATCTTTGAATCCCAAGCCAAGAACCATTTCCACAAAACTCTCCTGCCTCTCTTACAAAAAACTCTTCCTTGGTCAGTTACTAATATATAATCATAGCATTTGAGAGAATAACTTTCCAAGTTATGAAATATGAGTTGATTACCTAAATTTTATTTATTTGTTAGATCTCATAGGAGGACTATACATGAAAACATTATACTATTCTCAATATCCTAGCTTTTTGAATTCTAGAGAAAAAAGGACAACAGGTAACTGAGTTTGAATGTGACAAAATGAATGAATAAGAAGAGTCTGAACAGATATAGAAAGAGTAGGATAAGTGAGCGCCTTACAAATGAAAGCAGATGTATGAAATTACAAGCTGTCAGATCAGCAACGGAAATGAAGATGATAAAGTGATTCCTTACATAGATTATAATTATTCATTTTGCCCAGTCCTGTCTCCTTTCTCCATAATGTAATGGGCAGAGGGAGGGGTAGGAAGCTATAGCGTGACATGGTGTTTCCAACAGAGGAAGGAAAAGAAATTTAAGAATTAACAGTATTTCTGGTCACAAACAATTGTTTCTGATTTGTGTTGTCCACAGTTGTTTTCCTATCAAATATTTTTCAACTAACTACTCTGATTAATAAAAAGGGCTCTGTTACAGCCACAGGAAGTTCTAACTGTAAAGTTCCTTCACAATCAGTGCTGTGGAGTCACTCAGTGCGGCTTACAAAACAAGTATCATTAATGGGCCCAACAGTGACAGCAGTGGCAGATAAATTGCCAAGAAATGAAATAGTTTACATAGACCTGCCTGAAAAGATGTTTTTAGTAATTGTGCCCATAATTAGGTTAATATAAAAAAAAAATTAAATGACAGTCTAAGGCACACAGTTGGGCTTATCTATGAAAATTTTTGACATTTTTCATCCAAGAAATGCTGCATAGATATTTTCCCATTTTTTTTACTTTTAGAAAAACAAATAACTGGAAGAAATTGCATTTTTTAAATTTTGATTTATGTAATATTTATATATACAAAAGAATATATGTAACATGTAAGTTATGAAGTATAATCAGGGTAAATATTATTTTATGAAAATTTTAAACTAGTTTTTCCCTTTCCTAAGATTTTTGTTCGAATTCCTAAGCAGCAAAACTGGAGACATTTAAATACAGCCATATAAATGGCAGTAAATATGCATGCTTATAAGTTTATTTATATTGCAAACATGCACACATATCTATATCCGAGGCTCTTCCTTCCAACAGCCCCTAAGGATAAGTGCTAGTATATTAGACTGCAGCTAACAGTACAGTGTGTTACTTCAAAGGCCATTTGGTAAAGATTCCTTCTCCCTGTTTCCTTTTATCAAATCAATTGAGTTATTGGTTTGCTTTCTCTGAGTCTCAGTTATTTTTTTATTCTCAGTGATACAAACATCTTAAGAAGCATTGCTTCTGAATTATTTTTTTTCCTTCTTATTTAGTGATCTCTAGTAACTACCAGACCTGTCTTGGCCTTCTGATGCATTATCCACGAATTGGGGATATACACTCACTGATCCTTAAGGCTCTGTTCCTTCGAGATCCAAAGGTAAGCTTTCCCAGGAGGATATGTACAATTTTTAAAGTTGGGTAAAAAATTGGTTTTTATGTATGACTCCAAGAATTCCTAATAGGGAATATGTCTAATGGCAGATGAAGGGCCTAATGCAAGTGTTTGCCTAGAATTGTAGGCCAAAACTCACATACCTCAGTGGCCAGCAAATCAGCAGGCAAATTAAGTGGACATTACCATAAGAAACTGGAGCACATGTCTCTTGTCCCTCAGAAGGTAGTTCTGGCCTCCTGCCTTCCTCAGAACTCAGGGAAGTAGATGAGCAACTGCTTCTCTTTATAACCACACTTCATTATCATTGGAACCCCTCACAGGGACCAACTTAGCCTTGGGGGCCATGTGAAGACCAAGACATTAGAGCTATAAAAAAAAGACCAGTTCTATATCAGTTTATGATACAATGAAATACTAAATTATTTCATAATTTGTGGGTAAAGAGTAACCTCATAAAATAAACAGACTTTAATGCTGATTTCTCTAGTTGAACTTAAAGCAAGTCACCAAAATTTTCTTTACACTTCAGAGAAAAAGTGTGCTCTTTTACAACTAATGTTATATTTCTTGAAAATAAGAACATTTAATGATCTAAAAAAATCTGTGAATTCTTGATGCGTTTGAGCCAAACAAAAATATTGGATGAAATATAAGGGAGAAAGCTTCAAACACGAGTACGAGAATGCCAGGCATTGGGTGGTAATCCCAGCCTTTGGCTTTTTGGCAGCACTCCCAATAGTCATGTTGGCAGTTGTCGAGCTGTCTTTGAGTCAGTCTGTCTGTGGTTTCCATTGCCAAAGCCATGTCTGATCGACTTGTGCCTCCATGTTCAACGTAAATTTTGATTCTAAAGGGTTTCTGCCTTCTCCTCAGTTAATGACTTCAACATTTGAGTATATTTTCTGTTTATTTTTTGATTTAAAAGAACTTTTTTCCTTAAAACTATATCCATTTCTATAGAAATACATAATTTTATATTATTTCTCTTACACAAAATTTTGTAAAGTATCAGAAATATAATCTATTGTTTCTCTGACACATAAGGTATCATTATTTTTATTCTGGTAAGGTTCAGGAGTCTTACTAGGAAAACAAAAAATCCCATATTTATTTTTTATGTATATATGTATATGTAAGTCATGTAAGTACATATTTTTCATAAAAACTAACCAAGATTATGAAATATCAATAGAAGAAATAAAGAATGAGGTTGCTGGTCAGTGAGTTTTGGTCTACAAACTTAAATTCTGTCAGCTCAGCATTAAGAATTCTTAGAGTCATACAGAGTGGGGGAAAAAATGCTAAAATAACTATTTGAATTCTCTATTTGTGTGATTTGTTTGGTTTCACTAAAGGGAAAAATGAATATGTGATCTAAACCTATCGATCTTGGTAATTTTTCCCTAGCTAATTATGGTTGATCTTACTATGAATTATTCACTCTTCTATTTGCAGAATCCTATACACTAAATCTGTCAATGTTATTAGTGGAATCTATGATTTTAATAGAGTACTTTTTATCTCGATAATGTAGCGTACATAATATATGAGTACAGTGAGGCCAATTCTATAAACATTTAAAAAATATATTCTCTAAGGTTTAAAAGAAAAAAATAATTAATGGCATAAGTATCTTTAAAAAAAAGATATTCCCCCACTTTTACATTCAGGATCTTACTAAGTAAAAACATGATTAATATAATGGTCCAAAATGTAGAACTTTAAACTGATATTCCTGAGACATGAGAAATTAGACAGGCATCTAAGGAATAAAAAGAACAAATTAATCAAAAATGACTCACAAATATAGAGGACAATTTGATGACAGACAGAGGGGAGGGGGAGTTGGGAGAATGGGGTGAAGGGTTAAAGAAGTACAAATTAGTAGCTGATGGATAGTCATGGGGATACGGAACACAGCACAGGGAATGCAGTTAGCATTAATGTATTGGCTAGGTGGAAAACCAAAGGAGAAAAGGAGCAATTAGGGGGATCATTTTATAAACTATATAAATGTCTAACCAATGTACTGTATACTTGAAACTAATTAGATAGATAGATAGATAGATAGATAGATAGATAGATAGATGAAAGAAATTGGACAGGAAGAGGAGGGAGTCATCTAAAATGCACATGAAAACATGTTTAACTTTCTCTTCAGAGCAAATTCATGGAATGATGATATCCACGGGAAAAATTAAGAAAGCTATATATTGTTAAGGGGCTTTCAGATTGCTAGCCCAACAAGGTGATAGTTTTAGTTGAGTATATATAATGGCAGACCCATTGACATTATTTAGTAAACGTCAAATGATAACTAAGGCCACTTGGCTTGTGTGCTGGTTATAGGTGCATCACAGTATAATGTCCTGCAAGGAGCCTGAGTTAGGAAGTAAGACATCGGGCAAATCCTGACTCTGTCACCAACCATCCTTGCGTTTCGGGGAAACTCATGTTTGCTGAGTCTTGGTCTTTTGTGGTTGAAATTAATTGTCTCTAATGACCTGTCCATAAAGAACTGACTTCTAATGATCTAAGATTTAGTCCAGTGCTACAATGATATGGATTTTAAAAAAGCAAGTTTATACATATTGTAGAAATCCACAAGTGTTATCAGAGTTTTTATTCTATTTGGCCTATTCGGTTTCAGAATTAATGTCTATTACAAAGTCATAAAGGAGGCCATTTACACTGAGGGGAAAAAAAGAAAGGGAAAGGTGATGCTACTACCCCACCCATATCCTCTAAAAGTCCAGATATCAGAGTATTTTAAGTGTTTTCTATTATTAGCAGCAATGGAACACTTAAAATACTTGAATCATTCTTGATTCAAGTAGATCAGAGTATGGAAGGGTGACGTCCAGTCAGCAGTCTGCCTTTGAGATCTGTCTGCTCACTGGGTAGAGGCACCATGGAAATGCAGCCCCTGGAAAAAAGAGAAGCCATAGAAGGGGTGAGGTCTGTGTGTCCCTCACTGCTCTGGGATTCCATGGTCTCCCTGCTCCTGTGTACCTGGACCCTCAGTGCATCCCTGTCCCCTATTA